CACACACACACACACACACACACACACACACACACACACACACACACACCAAAAGGTGGACAACAGCATCAGTGGCTACCTGCCCTCAGTGAAGCCTGACAGGACGACGCCACCAATCAGCAGCCAACCTGAACGCATCACCACGCCCAGGTCACATGACCGCGTGTGTGTGTCTCTGTTTGGGTTTATTATTATTATTACTCTCTGGAGGTAGAGGTCTGGTGTCGCGGTGCAAGGACCCAATCGTGGCGATGGCGTTGTAGGTTTGACGCTGCAGCCTCGTCGGACTGTTAAGCGTGTTGGAAGACACCTGGACGGGTCTTCAGGTACCTGGTGTGTTAGCACGATGCTAAGCTAAACCTCCTCTCCTTCAGTCTTCACCGTCCGGCAGTCACATCATCACTGTCGACGTCGTCGTCAGCGTTCAGCTCACCCAATGAGAGAAGGCGTTGTTCCTGAGAGCCTTGCTGATTGGTGGCAAGGAGGCGCAGCGTGAAGGAGACGATGGCGGTGCGTGGGGGGGGGAGAGGGGCGGGGCTTCATATCAATACAAAAAACTAAAATCCAAAACAACGAAACAAGAGAACAGCCTTCCATTTACAAACGCCTCAGTTTTCTTCTATCAAGTTCAAGTCCAGTTCTGTACAATCCCTCTCGAACACGGCCTGCTGCGCCGCCTCACGCTCCTGCGCCTCCTCCTCCTCGCCATCGTCGTCGTCCTCGTCGTTGTCATCCTCCTCGCGGCACTCCTCATCGCTCTCGCTCAGCGGCCCGATGCTGGTCCTGCCCAGGCACTCGGCCGGCGAGCAGGAGCCCCGGAAGTCGCCCATGAAGGACTCCATGCCCATGAAGACGTCACCACAGGCCAGCCTGCCGCCGCCGCGCTCCAGACACTGAGGGTCGATGCTGCGCGTCTGCAGGAGGGAAGAAGAAGAAGAATTGTTACCAAGTGATGAGATCAAAATATCACTCGTCCGTTTACACCGTTAGATTCTGACCTTGTTAAGAGCCATGAAAATAAAAAAAGCTCGAAGAACTTCAGCAGAACGGAGACGACGAGGAGCAACAACACCGTTAAAAGATGCACAGATTTAGTCTTTTTAAAAAGACCTATATTTTCAATGTGAATAAAAAGCCGGCCCACACCGTACCTGGGTCATCTTGGTGAAGTCGAGGACGGGTCTGGCACACGGTCTGTCGGGGTCCCGGCGTCTCTTCAGACCCGGTTTGAGCAGCAGCAGGTCGCAGGGCTGCGAGTGGCAGCGCGGCAGCTGCGGAGGCAGACTCCGCCTCAGAGACGACGGCGTGCTGCAGGCCGAGGAGGGCGAGGCGGGAACCGGGCCGCCCGACGCCGACACGGCCGAGCAGCTTGGCGGACGCGCCGGAATCTGGCTCGGCACCGGAGGAGGTGGCGGCGGCGGCCTCCACGTTCCTGCCGCCGCCGAGTCTCTGATGAGCACTGGGGAGAGGGAGAAACGCCTCTGAGGAGGGGGAGGCGGGTGTAGGGGGGAGGGCGAGGAGGAGCAGGAGGAGGGCGAGGGGAAGAAGCAGCAACAGGCTCCGCCCCCCGCCGCTGCCTCGCTGGGGTCCCACGGAAAGCTCCAGGGCAGCGGTGAGTCCGGAGACAGTGCCAGGCTGAAGAAGGTGGGGCTGGATGAGGAGTGCAGCGACGAGTTCAGGGAGGAGCTGGGGGCGCGGAGAGGACAGGCTCCTCCCCCTACCACGCCCACCCCTATGACTCCTCCCCCCGCCGTGACCCCTCCCCCGTGACACTGCTGGCGACTGACGGGAGTCCAGACCCGCGAGGCGCTGGGCCGCCAGGTGTAGCGGCAGCGCGACAGGTCCTCGGGCACCGACAGCGAGCGGCAGTGCCGTTTGGGGGGAGGGGGAGGTGGGGGTCCGGGGCCGCAGAGGGGGGGGGCTGTCGGGGCCCCGGGGAGGGACAGCTCAGATGCTGAGGTGCTGGGGGCCAGGGGGCGGTGCTGCAGCAGGTGAGAGGGGGGGGGGCCGTCCAGGGGGTCACCCCCCTCCTGCAGGTGAGCATCTGGGGGCACCAGGGGCACGGGGCCGGGGGAGGGGGGGAAACTAGAGCTCAGTAACCCCCCCTGCAGGCCGGACTTGGAGGGAGGGCAGAGCTGCCAGTAGCTGCTCTCTGAGAGGAACAAACACACACATGATAATGTTATTTACTTTACTTTTCAGTTGCATCATGGGAAATGTAGGATCCAGTGTTTCTCAGGGTTTTACCCAAACTAGAGTCTGAAAGTCAGGATCTCCAACTCTGCTGTACAGATTAGTGTGTTGTAATTTACTGGCATTCTCTTAATTTAGAGCAAATCACATAATCCTCACCAGGCATCAAGCCATCTGGGGGCCAGCACTCTGCGAGGGTTTTCGGGTCCAGCAGGGACTAAAAGACCAAAAGGTGGAGTTTTAAGAGAAAATTCAATTTTATTTGTGTTGAAGAAAATGTTTAAAACTCAAGGGAGCCGTAGATAAAAAAATCGTTCCCTCGCGCCGCCCACGACGTTCCCTTGCGCCGCCCCACAACGTTCCCTCGCGCCGCCCCACGACGTTCCCTCGCGCCGCCCCACGA